AGGATTTATGTGGTGTTCCCATCTATAAAAGATCCACGAAATCCATAAAAATTATCACTTAAAAAAAAATTCATAAAAATTTTTAAAAATCCCAATTGAATACAACTCTAAATATGTATCTTAAAATTACCCATACCATGGTTTCTCCATTCTCTCCAAACAATCCTGACCAAGGGATTATAAATGGTCTCAAAGTTAGATTTAATCGTCCAAAAGCCAGCAACCATTTTTACTCCTTGTTCTTTTTTGAACTCAGGAACCACGACATTTTATCCACACACAGTCTGGCAAGAGATCTTCAACCGCAAAAAAGATATTATCTTTTGAAAACCCTTGCAAACAAGAATATGGCTACAACAGCAATAGCTACACCTATGTTTTCTTTTGGATTGAGAATTTGTAATCCACTTCGATCGATTCGATCCACAACGGTTCATTTCTCACCACTCACCAAGAAACAAGAATCATCGATTAACCTCAGTTCTTCACGCTGTGTTTCTGGGTTTGCCCCGCTTGTTTTTAATAGAACTTTCAATTTTGCGTCACCCATTGGAAGGAATTTACAGCCGCTCACTGTAGTCTGCTCCAAAGGCTACAAAATGAAGACCCACAAGGCAATTCTTTGTATATTCATTTTTGCTGACACGTTTAAGTGAACTTGGGGTACATTTTGGATTTTGTTTTGTGGGTTTTTAATATTTTTTATATTGGAGTTTTAGGCTTCGGCGAAGCGATTTCGGGTTTCCGGTAGTGGGAAGGTAATGAGGAGGAGAGCAGGGAAACAACATTTGCTGGGAAAGAAGAATACTAAGAGGAAATTGAGACTCTCCAAAGTGGTATGAAATTTGCCCCCTTTTTTTGCTATACGTGAAATCTCGATTTCTCTATACTTTAATTTGATTTTCCGTGTGCAAATTATGGGACAAATTAGCTTGTGTAGAAAAAGATGTATCTCGGAGCGAGTTACAAAAGATTGAATCGTTTTTCCGACTCAATCTGGTGGTTTCTTTCATGTTCCTTATTAGTTTGTTATCATGCTGACTGCGACATAAAGCCATATTGGGCACTTGTGAGTCTTAGGATTACCATTATACCGTTCTCTTCAAAAAATCAGAACTTCAAATGCAGAACACGAATGCTAGCGAGGGGTTGCTCATGAATGAATTCAGTTTCTGCAAGTGGCTTACACATTAAAAGAATTGGACCAAAAAAAAAGAAAAAAAGAAAAGCTTTTTGTGATAACATCTTTGAAAAAATTTGATTGCGCGAAATTGCTCGTTTGAAGTTATTTATTGAAGAGGATACTATTAGAGCTTCTTTATGCCTCCTTTTCTCCCATAGGAAAACATATTGGTATTAATAAATTAGAAGAACATTGGTAAAAATACGATAATCTGGTGACCCTCTATCAACGTTGGTCTTGGCTGGACTGCTGAAACAATGATTGGAAATTAAAGAAGAAAAGTTACGAGCTTCTAGAAGATAAAACTCAAATCATTGTATGATTATTAATACAAAAGTTGATCAGAAATGGGGAATTGCAGAACTTGATACTTCTTTTGTTTGACTATTTGGACTTGTTATTGTCTGATCAAAAGCCTTTTGTGCAATGTCTGAGCAAGTCAGTTACAAGATGGAATGACAGTCTATTTTCGTTTAGCCCGTGATTGAGTTGCTTAGAACAACAATGTATCTTTTGAGATAACTTCACAGCCTTTGTTAGTACAACTGTTGCTGGAAATCTTGTTGAGAATGAAAAGATCTCTTTTTCAATTGGTCAAAAGTTGAGTCAGTTTGATTACTTATGTTAAAATCCTCAAAAGATGCTTTCACTTTGCCTTTTGCTGAACTTAAGAAGTGCTTTGCATTTTTTTAGTATGAATAGCATGAGGATTTATTATAGCTGAAGTTACCACGGTGAAGTTATCTGGCGCCTGATTTTTCATAATTTTTTTTTTGTTAGTATCCATGTATAATTGTTGACATTGAGGCGAATCCCTCAAATTTGCAAAGTTCTGTGTTCGGACTCCAAAATTCTATGCAAACTATTTCTTGAATCAGTTTGCTGGCTGTTTGTGGCATATAAAATGATGATCTGAATTCCCAGGATCAAACTCATTGGTCTTTGGAGATAAGTTGTGAAACACATTAGGTTCTTGAATGAGATGTTAATTCAGTTGACAGATCTGCACATTCTTTTTCTCCCCTCCCTTCATGTGCTTGACTTATGCTTTTTAATTTGGTACTTATTTCTGTTTTTTACTTTGGGTGGAAAAGGGGCCATTTGGTAACCTTCATTTTTGTCCCAAAGAAGATTAACTACTTAAGAAGGCTTTGCTTTAAAGGGTTGGAAAAGGACACGGAGCATTTCCATCCTGTACTGAAATCTTTTCATGCATCAGTTTTAGTTGTCTTCTTTTGAACATCAACCATTGTCTCTTATGTCGACTTTACTAATCGTGGATAGGTACAAGTTGATCGGAGTGACTATAACAATGTGATTGGTGCTTTGCCTTATCTCAAAGTTAATCGGTCAAAGTAAAGCCAATGCTGATCTTTTCATCCTGCTATAAAATGTAGAGCCTGCTGATACATTACATGGGAGTATTCTCACTTGTGTGTAAAGGATAAAGCAAAACCCGTACTAAAAGTCATCTTTTTGATTATGCGTTTTTCAAATTTTGAAATTGTTGACTTTTTAGTTGAATTGTTGTTATTACTGCTTAATTCTTAGTGTCTTCTATCTCGATGGTTCTTTTACTCCCGAAGATTTTCTTTTGACTTGTAAATTGGTTAATTTTTCTTTTAGTACTATTTCTATTGGCTATATTTTAGTTCTATGATTGCTTATAGGATTATTGGGGTATCTTATGCCATTCGCTCCCTTAGCTTTTGTCTCTCAGTGTCAGTGTCAAAGTTGGTGTCGGCCCAGCAAGGTTGAGTTGTGCGACCCCACTAAAATAAGATCAGAAGATGGCGGGATGGGTAGTTTAAAACTAACATGTTATATAAATTAGAATTTTGAAATTTTACTGAAAAAGTAGAATTCGGTCGAAGCAACTCCTGGAAAATATTATAATGCCCGTTTAATATGCAATGTTGAATAGAATATTAGTATATATGAGCAAGAATTTTAGTATGAATTTTGTAAAAGCAATTTAATAGGTTTTTTCCTCATTAAACCCAAATGATTCCATATTTGCTGGACACACCATGGAGATTGATATTCAAGACATTCTAGGAAAACTTGTTAGGCTATTTCCGTCCCATAGCACCAGATTGGGGTAAGTGTTGCACCATTTTGTAAATGAACAATGTTTCCTTTATTTCGTTATGTTTTTATTCTCATCAATTAATTTATTTCAGAAATTATTTAATTTCAAATTATAATGACAAAAAGGGGAGAAAGGATTGATCACTTTGTGGATCTGTGATCAAAGAAAACTATATATGAAGAATGGCAAAGGTCAGATACCTAAAAAGGCTGGTTTTCTGAATAGGTTCGAAACTTTGGGGAGGCCAAAGGTTCGAAATATTTTAATTAAGAGAAGGTAGAACATCAACTAAACTTCTAGAGCTTTTTTTTCCTTATTTATCGTTGTGGAAGTTGTTTCTAGGAAAGATTATCGTTATCGGGTATCTAATCGATTAAGTGGGTCAGGTGGTTTTGTCCTTTTTCTCATGGTGGACGGAGGTCCACTACTAGTAAAATTACTAAATTATATTAATTAACTAAAACATTGCATTTATTGATAAAATTATAAAAAAAACATTAAATTTAATAGTGCAATTAAAAAAATTACATTTAACACACACATAAACAAATTATATATAATAATTAATTTACCATAAATGTTAATTAAAATTAAAATTAAATTAAATTAAATTACTAAATAACTAAAAAATGTAAAAATAATATGATAGGAATTAAATTTTGTTGTAACATAAAATGAAGGGCAATATAAAAATTATGAAAAACTCTGAAAATCACACCAAATTGATGCAGAGATTTGGTCTTAGGTTGGAGTGATTTTTTGCACCAAATAAAACATCAATTTGGTGCTATGGTTGGAGATGTCATTAGTAATTCGTAATCCACTTAATGTAGATAGTGTTTTTCTTCTTCTTTTTTTTTTTTCCTTTTTTTTTTAAAAATAAATCAAAGAATTTCATTTTAAATTTTAAATTGTTATAGACAATCATTAATAATTTATTTAAACGGTTGTCAAGGGTATGACATGTAATTATTAAATATATTACATTAATTCAAGGGTATGTCACAAGAATTAAATATATTAATGAAAATTAGTCGATATACTTAATACTCACATTTATGCATTCTTTCCGGTTTCCAGTGTCAAATAACTCCATGTAGTGTATGAAAATATTGAATACTCCTTGTTAATTAATGAAAATCAAGTAACTCTTTTTTATTTTTTTTAACTTATAAGTAATAAAAAAGAATGTATCAAAATGCACGAAGTCCAGATGACATGATGAAGGATGTTAAACTGAGCAATGACAACTATAATTTAAGTTTCTCAAAAGGTTGAAAATTAAGTAACTTCTTTTACTTATAAGTAATAAAAAATAATGTATCAAAATATATTTGAAAAAAAAAAACAGGCTAAAAGGTTAGCATAAGGTCCAAATGACATGATGAAGGATGTTAAACTGAGTGATGACAACTATGATTTAAGTTTCCCAGAAGGTAGTAAAAATTACCATTTCTAAATATCATATTTCCAGTTCATATATCCCCATTTAATTTAAAAGAGAGGATGCCAACATTACTATTTATCTTGAGGCAGAGCGTTAGTATTAATCTGGTTCCCTACTATAGCTAAACTCGTTTGGCATCATTTTCAGTGAAAAGAGGCTTTAATTATTTAATACTATCCAACCACAGAAATGAAATTAATGTGATTGTTTTATTACTTTCAATTGTTGACCTAATCAAGTCATTTACTGTAGCTCACTGTTGATTCAATCATATACCATCCATAAATCATTATCATCTACTCACTATCACCGCTATCTTAAAAGAGCGAATTAGCTGGTTAATGTTCATTTAGGATGTATTTAGGTGTTTTCAATTTTACTCTCAACTCCCTCGCACAGTAACTCCTACACTAAGGGTCTAATGGTCTTTTTGTATGTAGACAAAATAAAAAAAAGTCAAAAATAGTGTACTATCTAAAGGGTTTGATTCCCTGTTTTGCCTAATTTGAATTTTTATGTCAAAAAAAAAAAAAAAAGTTGACGCCATACACAATTTTTTTTAAGAAAATGATGTAAATTATATTGAGAAAAATGTCGCAAAAAAAAATAATAATTAATAGAATAATTGAGTTTTTTAAAGAAAAGAGGATGAGTTATACGTATTTTTTAACACGCATGTTTGATGTACGTTTAATTATTTTCGATATTTATTTAGATTATTCGATATGTTTATAATATAGTTTTCGAAATGAATTTCGAAAAAATATAGAAGATTTATGGTAGATTTTTATAAAAAAAAATTAAATAAATCATCCAATGAAAAAAAAATTGACACAAAAAAATATCAATCACCCAATGAATAAAAATAAAATAAAATTGACACTGAGCATCATATATATATAAGCATGCGTCATGGAGCATTGTCGTAATAATGTTATTTCTTTTTTTCTTAATGATTGATATATTTTTTTATACCTAGGAGCAATTTGCTCCATGACGCACGGAGCATTGTCGTAATAATTTTTTTCGTTTTTTCTTAATGATTGATATTTTTTTTATACAAATCTATTTAACCCTTATAACGTGTCACGGAGTATGTTAAATCATGTACATTGTTTATTTCTTCAAAGTAGTTGCGATAAATCAAAGTAAAACTTAAGACAATGTTGAAAAAATTTAATACTCAGTCGAAAAGATGTCGATTAATTTATTTGACGATATTGAATATTTTATATGTATATAAATTTTGGAGGATTAAATTCAAATATATCAAAATTGGATGATTAAATAAAAATCTCAACCCCATTTAAGTGACAAAATATTATACTGCGGCTTAGCTTGTGTTTGGCTCAATTAAATCTTCTTCTTTTTTTTTTTCATTCTTCTCTCTTTTATTTTCAATCGTAGAATTTTACATAAAATAATATTACACGTAAATAAAAAAAATCATTAAATAGATGAGATATTAAACAATAAAAAAAGATTCGATTAATTACACGATTTAATTATATTGAATATAGTTATCATCAAATACGTCATTTATATGTAAAATAATCACTCAAACTAAAATAATGTTTGATATATAAATTATAAACTCCAATAATTTGGATTTTTAATCCATGTATCAAGGGAGCATTTATCCTATCTTCAGAAAATACATTTCAATTATAGCAACACAAAATTGAGGCCAATGTTGTAAAATGAAAGATTATTAGGGTTTAGAGGTGAATGACAATTACACCCCTGCAGCCCTAAAAATAATTACATTTGTATCCCTAATTCTGCCCTATAAATAAAGGACATTGATTCTTAATAAAATACACAAGTCTATTGACTTCTCTCTGTTTTTCTACTATTTTCTTTATTTTTTATAACACGTTATCGGTACGAAAAACAAAATTCTTCAAAAATTTTGTGAAGATAGTAATTCTTCTTTTTTCTATCACATGTATCAAAATTAATTTGGTAATATGTGAATTTTTTTTTTTTTTTTTTTTTTT